TGTCACCTCCAGGTCCTTTTTGTCACCTCCGGGTCCATGTTGTCAACTCCCAGCCCCAGCTGTCACTTCCATGTCCCTGTTGTCACCTCCATGTCCCATTTGTCACCTCCCAGCCCCTGTTGTCACCTCCAAGCCCCAGTTGTCAACTCCAGGCCCCAGCTGTCACCTCTGGGTCCTTTTTGTCACCTCCAGGTCCCTGTTGTCACCTCCCAGCCCCAGCTGTCACTTCCATGTCCCTGTTGTCACCTCCATGTCCCATTTGTCACCTCCCAGCCCCTGTTGTCACCTTCAGGCCCCAGTTGTCACCTCCAGGTCCTTTTTGTCATCTCCATGTCCCTGTTGTCACCTCCCAGCCCCAGCTGTCACCTCCATGTCCCTGTTGTCCCCTCCCAGCCCCAGCTGTCACCTCCATGTCCCTGTTGTCACCTCCCTGCCCCAGCTGTTACTTCCAGGTCCTTGTTGTCACCTTCAGGTCTCAGCTGTCACCTCCAGGCCTCAATTGTCACCTCCAGGTCCCTGTTGTCACCTCCCAGCCCCAGCTGTCACTTCCAGATCCCCGTTGTCACCTTCGAGTCCCTGTTGTCACCTCCAGGTCCCACCTGTCATCTGTAAGCTTCAATTGTCACCTCCCAGCCCCAGCTGTCATTTCCATGCCCCCGTTGTCACCTCCAGGTCCCCGTTGTCACCTCCCAGCCCCAACTGTCACCTCCAGGCCCCAGTTGTCAACTCCAGGCCCCAGCTGTCACCTCCAGGTCCTTTTTGTCACCTCCGGGTCCCAGTTGTCACCTCCCAGCCCCTGCTGTCAACTCCCAGCCCCAGCTGTCACTTCCATGTCCCAGTTGTCACCTCCCAGCCCCTGTTGTCACCTTCAGGCCCCAGTTGTCACCTCCAGGTCCTTTTTGTCACCTCCGGGTCCCTGTTGTCCCCTCCCAGCCCCAGCTGTCACCTCCATGTCCCTGTTGTCACCTCCCCACCCCAGCTGTTACTTCCAGGTCCTTGTTGTCACCTCCAGATCTCAGCTGTCACCTCCAGGCCTCAATTGTCACCTCCAGGTCCCCATTGTCACCTCCCAGCCCCAGCTGTCACTTCCAGATCCCCGTTGTCACCTTCGGGTCCCTGTTGTCACCTCCAGGTCCCACCTGTCATCTGTAAGCTTCAATTGTCACCTCCCAGCCCCAGCTGTCATTTCCATGTCCCCGCTGTCACCTCCAGGTCCCCGTTGTCGCCTCCCAGCCCCAATTGTCACCTCCAGGTCCCCGTTGTCACCTTCTTTTGTCGCGGCCCCCCCAGGGTCTCACCTTGATGTTCTCCTCGATGATCCTGGGGTCGTCACAGATGGACTCCACGAACAGAACCTGGGGACAAGGGGGGGACCCGTGACACCCTGTCACCTCCAGGTCCCCGTTGTCACCTTCTTTTGTCGCGGCCCCCCCAGGGTCTCACCTTGATGTTCTCCTCGATGATCCTGGGGTCGTCACAGATGGACTCCACGAACAGAACCTGGGGACAAGGGGGGGACCCGTGACACCCCCATGCTGTGACACCCCCAAAACGG